ACCTTAAAATTGCTAGAAAAATTCACTATAGGTTGAGTTTGTGTATTCCTCTTAAATGTTCTTCCTCAAGTGAAATATAATCATCTTTGTTATTATATATAAAAGTGATTCTATTGTGTGATAAGGTCTTTCTTTAAGCAAAGGAAGATTAAGCATTTAAATTTTTATCATGAAAACCAAACATGAAAATCAAAAAATATAGAAAGTTTTGTAGGAAATAAAAATTAAAAACTAGAAGGCTTATAAAGTGTCTAATAATTAGTTTTTTCTTTTCCAAAATAAATACTTAATGAATTATTTTTATAAATAAAAAACAATTAAATGTTATGTGTATCATGGTACATGTTACAGTGGCAGGATATTCTAACACATATCTTCAAAATACTTCCTAGACTAATTAAAAAGATTCTTAGAAAAGTATTAGACCCTTAAAATGCTAAAATTTACACCAAAATACAAATTTAAGTTACAAAAATCCAGTGAAAAATTATTGACCTGAAATAAATATGTATGCATATATACATATATGTAATTTTTGAACAAAATTGATATTATTTCTCAATCTGAATATTATAATTTTATCATTAGTGATAGAAGCATTAAAAGAAATGTAGTTTTATTACAAGTCAAGTCTTTTGAAAATTCTTGCAAAGCATCATTATATTTTAAGAAAATTCAAATGGATGTTAAGTGTCTGATTTTGCTTCTTTGTTTACACAGTGCAACCTGCATATTAAATGAAAAACTTCATTTTTTCTATGAATTTTTAGATCTCTGTGAGGAGATTAAGAGCCAGTATAATATCCAGTGAGCATTTGCCCCTAACCCCTACTTTGTGATTTCTCATTATTGTCATGACTGTTTCATAGTTCTTGACAACCTCATCTTTCCCATTTAAGGCCAGTGATGCCATAGTTCTAGCCTGAGGGACATCTCATCTTACAGTGAATGTCAAGCAACCCACTGTAGTAATCCAGGATTTAAGTTATGGAAGAAAACATAGCTAAATAGAATCATATTTTGCATGTATGCTTATATTAATTAGTTTTCTCAATCATTGTCTTTTCTCCAAAGGTGGTAAATATTCTGTAGCCTCTGTGACTGTTGACAGTTAAAGGAATAAGATTTATTTGTATGTAAACAAACAAAACAATATCTCTCCTAATAGTAAAATTTAATGCCTTGTGAAAAGAGAATATAATTTCTGTTTTTCTTTCTAGTATTTTCCATAGTTGTAGAACCATGATTTTAAAACGTTTATGCTTTATCTTCATGGGCCAAGTTAAATATCATTATTTTAATGTGCACTTTGCACGTTTTTGCCAAATTTTGCAGTTATAGCCATTGGTTATTTAAGAAACTAAATTATATTTCAATAAAACTAAAATATTAAATTAGGGAAGGAAACTTGCTTCTTTACAAAACTCATACCTAACAAAGCAATATAGGACTTGAAAGTCATGCTGTTTAATGTTTCTAGGATATGCATTCATTTATAGCATTTGTCCTCGGAGAACACATAGTAGTTTTTAATCTAGTTACACAGAGATGTAATTTTGCTTTTGAATTTCTAATAAATTATAGGGAATGAAGCCATCCCACACATCAGTCCACAGTTCTATTGTCCAATTGTATGGGCACATGGAAGGAAATAAATCTATTAACTAACTTCATAATTTGAAGTGCAATTCTCTAACAGAGTGGGAAGCCTTGCATTTTTCAAATGGTGGTTTGCTTTCAGGCTCCACTTTAGGTGTTCAGAAACTCTGTGTTTGGTAATATGTCACAAAATTATCGATGATTTAAGGCATATATCCTCTTTTTAAAGTAAGGCAAGTCAAATTACAGATTTGGTGTTACCCCCCCTGAAATCTATTTCTTTTTCTGACTTTAATTTTAAGCCTGTATGCAACTCTTTCTATGTGACAAAATAATCTTTGGTTTCACAGAATGTTGATAATCATAATAAGGGTTATTGGCACAATCTTTCATAAGTCAGGACTTGATAAAAACTGACTTGTTGTACATGAACTTGGAAACCTAGCATCAGTGGGTTGGCTTTCATACTTTGTTCCAGTCATTTTGGAAGATGTTCATAGGTCCTCCTCCCATTTACTTTTCCCTGAGTATTTCAGATCAGCATTGTAAATATATTTGAGACTGCAGTATTATACTGTTTTCTTCTCATTCCTGAAAATTGCCCTGATTTGAAACTCAATACACTGAGCAATCATGATATGGAGCAGCACATATTAAGGGGATGAAATATAGAAAACCAACTTGACTGAGCATCATGTAAATAAAGAATAGTGTTACTTTGTTAGTTAGTAAGACATCCATGTTTTTTTGCAGTTCCTGTGAAATGTCTGAAAAAGGCAGTACCCTGAGAAGGGAGATTTTGCTCGAAATGCACAACAGTTCAGCAAAATAAAAATATACGGTTTATGTAAAGGGTATCAAACTACAGATTTCCTTGTATTATATATTATGATAATTCAATAGCTTACCTCTTACAAATTTTTAACCAAAAATGTTAACAAATAAACCTCCAATTTAAAATGTCATCTATACAATTCTGTATCATAGGCAATTTTACTCACCACTGAAACTGTAAGCATTAAATTCCATTGTTCTTCTTTCTTGCTTGCTTATCAAGACAAATGAATATGAGTGTTTCTAGTTCCTTCATTAAAATGGGTATAGAATAGTTTTTATGACAATGTTCTCAGATGCATTTTTGTTATAGAAATAAGGAGGATTACATAACTAATCAAAATTGTTGACTGTGGTGGAAGAATCTCTCATATGATGTTGCTTACATACACTAATATAAACCATCTATGTAAAGGTTCATTAGTGTTTATAATGCCATATTAAATTAGTTCTATTTTCCATGAATGCACAATATTTAGATAATAAATGACAGTCATGATGAATAGATAATATATTTTCTTTTATTTTTCTTTATTCCATGGCCTGCAACTGATAGTCCTATTTAACAAAAAACTGAAATTATGGCAAGTCTTTCACCCCAAACAATCACTTCAGTTGTCTTTGCTTACAATGTACTTTTAAATAATTTTTACTTTAATTTTAAAGTATTTATTCTAAGTGTTGAGAGATACTCTGTTTATAAGAGTTAGTGGATCCCAACTGGTGAAGAGGCTAGCTAATAACCACATGGCTTCTTCCTGCAGTCTCCTCAACATGTCAATACTGGGATGCTTCAAAGACTATAGATTCATTAAGCACAGGTTTTTCATAAGATCTTCTGTTACAGCAGCTCTGTTCTGTCCAGATGAAAAGAATGTGGTTGAAGTCAACACTGCATGGGTCATATTGATTCTCCAGAGAACTAATTCATTAGTGCTTTGATCAATTAACATATTTTATCTTCTTTAGTTTCAAAGAACTTCATTTTTCTTTCAATTGTATTAAGTACTATTCACCATGTGTTGAAGGAGGTCACTTGTTTGTTTCCTGGCCACCTGGTAGATCAGAACCAAAATAATCACACAGAAAATATGTTATTTAAATCAGTGTTTGGCCCATTAGTTCTAGCTTCTTATTGACTAACTCTAACATATAAATTTAACCCATCCCCATTAATCTGTGTATTGCCACTTGGTAGTTTACCAGGTAAAATTCTGACCATCTGTCTTTGGTAGGGATACATGGCTTCTCCCTAACTCCTTCTTCTTTCTCACTGCGTTCAGTATAGTTTTCCCCACCTACCTCTATTCTCTGTGCAGTCCCAAGACAGTTTCTTTATTCATTAATGGTAATCACATCATACAGAGGGTAATCCCACATCAACCATGGATTAACTACATACTGTAAATATGTTAGAAATAATTATAATTTCATATGTTTTAAATAACAAAATTGGAAAAAATATGGTGAATGTTTATCAATATTTTTTAGATTTATGAGATTATTACATAATTACATTAATTTCCATTCCCTGTACTCCCTCCAAAACCCTTCCATATAACTCTCTTTGCTCATGTTCATGGTCTTTTTTTTATCATTTGTTTATAGATAGATAGATAGATAGATAGATATAGATATAGATAGATATAGATATAGATATAGATATAGATATAGATATAGATATAGATATATACTCAACACTGCCTACAACTGGTTCTATCTGTGCAATGTGACTTATGTGCCTGAAACAGGTATTAGGAAACGAACTGGTGTGTTCTTCCATGCAGAAGATGACTTCTCCTGCTCTTACCACTTGTCAGTTGCCTGTACTTCTCTCTACAAAACTGAAGCCTACTGGGGGTTCCCATTTCCACCATTGCAGCTATTGTTCTTATTATGCTCAATTTTAGGCAATCATGTTACTTTTTCATCTAATCTGTTTCTTTACTTTTATAACTCTGCCTTTTAAAATGTGTGATTGTAAACTCGGCTTTGATATGATAATGCAAAATCAAAGATAATAAAACATGCAAGTGAAAAGAGTGAAATAAGCTAAAGTTTGACTTGATTTAATCCATTCTGAGATTGTAAAATGATTGACCCACTGGTTGTTGAAGATACAAGTTCACGACATTTCTTTGTCAAGAGTGAAAAATTCCCACTTGAGACACAGAGACTCTAGACTGAACATCCTATTTCCCTGACCTTATGAAGAAATAATTTAATTGGTATAAGTGACACTTAGATATATAGAAGAAATGGTGTATTTATATAATTTTATTTTTTCTAAACATCAAAGAAAAATGCAGTGACTATTTTGACTTTCTGTTTGTGTTCCAAAACAAATTGCTACTTTTTTTCCATTGAAATTTCATGCATTTGTGAGAGTTACAGTTGAATCGACAAAACGGACTACTCAGGAATTGTGCTCACATGATCTTCTACTTTTCTTTTCAGGCACTTGCCTGTGAGGTTAATCTCAAAGATTAATAATAAGCCCAATGCTTTTTCTTATTGCAGTGCTTTAAAATAAGTGTATGTTTTTTGTTTTGTTTTACTTTTCTTAGCAATGGTTGTCTTGAGCAGCCTGGAACCAAATACAACTTATGAAATCAGGGTTGCAGCAGTAAATGGAAAAGGGCAAGGGGACTACAGTAAAATAGAAATATTCCAGACACTGCCAGTCCGTAAGTAATCAGCACTGCTCTGCTCTCTGTCATCAGATTCTTCTCTTGAAAATGTAATGGGTTTTTTTTTAATGCAGAAAATCATTTCAATACTTATGGAAGTGAATTGTATTTCTATAGAAGTGTTTCCTGTGTTAGTGGCATCATGGCTTACATTTCTCATAACCTGGGAAGAAAATAAAAAAAAAAAACATGATGGAATATAAACAGTAAAGCTGTTCTTAGTAGATCTTTCAAATTTATTATGTGATTAGATTATGGGTGCAGGTTTTATTATGTTTGTAGAAAAATTGTTGTGTGTCATGTCTCTTTTAATGAGACACAACTATTATCCCACAAATTATGTCAGCTGTAAGAAAAGGGAATACCAAACTCTAAATTAATTGGTTGCAAAAGTAACTATAGGAGACCATAATCATCTGTGGCCTTATTCTCAAAACTATCCGATTTTAAGTAATTTTTAGTCAATTTGGTTTATCTAAAGGTTTGAAATTTTAAAAGGCATAGCCTTTGTATAATTTCTAAAATTTGAGACAATTTACTAAAGAGGACTGAACATTGCTGTTGCAAAATATTGGTACGAATCTGCCTGTTCAATGCAAATATTACTTCATTAAATTGACTACTCTAAGTTCCTGCTCTGTCATTTGGGCAGTGGTTTTCTAGCGCTTCTCAAAATCCACCATGTGATGTCCCTTTTCTCCATTCTCATATTGCAATATTTTAATTCCTTCATTATTTTTACCAGACTGTCTCATAGGTAAGTGTATCAATGCTCGTACCCAAATCTTAAATGACTTGTATATTCTATTTTTATTTTCACAACTACTGATGATACCCAGAGGTGTTGCAAATTCATTCAAAATGGAAGCTTAATCAATTCAATTATACTCTGGGTAATCTTTATAATTCTGTGCGTTCCTACATTTACAGACTTTGAACAACTTTTCTCCTCTTGAAACACCAGTGCTCATGTTTAAGAAAAATAAATTTCTACTCTTGATACTGAGTCTATGGTTCAGTCATCAAAGTGTTGCTATTTCATGAAAGCATGAGAACCTGAGTTGAGATAAACAGCACTCATATAAAATTTGAGTGCAGTGTTGTAGGTTAGTAAGATCAAAAGTGAATTGGAGGTAGAGGTAGATAAATCCTTGATGCACACTGGCCAATAAATCTAATCAAATTGGTAAGCCCTCTGTATACCAGTCTTTAGTAATCTCATTAGACCTTTATGAGATTTGGCATTATCATTATGGATAAAGCAGGAGAGTTACTGAAGTTCTAGCCTGCCTTAAGGGGCAACTGTCTATTTTCTGGAAGTGTCGTAGCCACTGATAAATTGCCCTTGCTCCATTAAACAATTTCCTAAAACACTCTAAATAAATTCTGTGGATCACACACTGAAAAAACATAAAAGACATAAAGATAGAGATGGTTTTCAACAGGAAATAGAGAGAAATGAAGTGAAAACAATTTAATTTTCATTACATAAATTTATGAAACTTAAATAATGAAATATTAAATATAGCATTTAAGTTAAATTATAAATCTATGAATGATCACATTTTGTGTATGTAAGGCATAAATTAAAATCCAATGGTGAAAATTTAGTTTCTGCTTTTTAACATCTATAAATGTAATTTATTACAAGAAAATGATTGCATTGTCATTTTAAATGACAATGTCATTATTAAATAAACCTCTTCTATACAATATGAAATTTTCCATTTTAAACATAGAAGTTCTACTAAAGCAGATGAGCTGTAAAGTTTATTATGTGAGTGAGCATCAAGTTGTGCCACATCAAAATAAAAAATAAAGTAAACCAATAAAAGGTAATGTATTTGGTATATAAGTCGATGGTTTAACTAGAAAGCAGCCTTATTGGGAATGTACAGTGAGAGTTCATAAAGAACTTTTGTGTTCCTTCTTAGGTGAGCCAAGTCCCCCTTCCATACATGGACAGCCAAGCAGTGGGAAGAGTTTTAAAATCAGCATCACAAAACAGGATGACGGAGGGGCTCCTATTTTAGAATACATTGTGAAATACAGAAGTGTAAGTATCTTTTGATTAATATTTGTATTTTACTGTCTGTTACATGATAAGTCACCATAATCTTAAAGATTGATAAGGTATGTATCTATAAGGTAAAGTATACATGTTAATTTTTCTGTTTCTGAAATTTAGCATTATATTTGTTACCTTTTATTTTATTAAAGAACATGTACTATTTTGAAATATTTTGATGGTTTTGACCCTAATTCTAGTCTATAATGTGATTTAACAACATGAGAGATAACATTTCTTTATGTCACTACTTTTATCTACTTTTCACTTCATCTTAGTACATTAGCCTAAATTTGTTGGTTCATTTTACATAATGTAGTGTTGGACCCCAAAGTCCAATTACCAAGGAGGAGTTGCCCCAAGAGACTACTCTCACATTGCAGTTGATGTAAAAGCAAGAGGATTTTAATTTTGTTGTGACAGGGTCCTTCAGAATTTGAGAAGCCAAAAGACTCCAAATGACTGTCACAAGCAACTTTTAAATCAAAAGGCCATAGAAACAAGGGTGTGTGGGGTGGGACTTAGGAGTTGTTTTTTAACTATTTGTATTGGCGTATTTAAAGGGTTACTAACAATAATTGGTCTGAGCCAGGGCTGAAGAGCAGTTGCCAGATCAAGTGAGGTAAGAGGGAACATCTGAGGGTCATTCTGACCCCTTTCCAGGGACTGAATCAAAACATCTGTAGACATCTGTGGGTTACCTTATCCCAGTTCCAGGAATGGAGCACTATTTGGAGAACGTTCACAAGGACAAAGGGCGATGGAAAGTCCCCAACATTCCAGTATGTGCATGTGTAGTTGTTAGGTTCCTGGGAGGAAGAGGTGAAGCACTAAGGCTGAGAGGCCTCAGAAATAGCCTCAGAGTTGTCCTAGATTTCTACAGTAGAAACAGTATTAGAAACTTTTCATATTATTGTAACATTATATCTGGTAAAATAATTTAATTAAAAGATAATTTAACTTGAGTCATGGTTTAAAAAATAGTAGTTCATCATGGTAAGAAAATCATGCCCTGTACTTATCTGTGTCGGAAGTGAAAAAGCAGAGAGATCAATGCTGGTGTTATTCTACCTTGATCAACAATACTGGACTCTAGCTAATGAAGCCCTAACACTCATACTTCCATTAATAATCTTTCATTTGGCTACAAAACACTTTGGAAACACCTTCTCAGATATTTCCAGTGATGTATTTCGGAGCAATTCTTTTTAAAAACATTTTCATTAATTTTTAGATAAAAATTGCCTTTTTGTATTCTTCAGTACAATGTGTTGTGTATAAGCTTACAAAGAAAGTAAATATGCTGGCAGTGGAGTAACAAATAGTTGTGAGCCACTGTGAGTGATCTGGAAATTAAATTATGTTCCATGGAGCAACAGTTGATGCCCCTAACCATTACCCTTAAATCATTTCATTATCCCCTGTAGATAATTCTATTGCTCTCAAATTCACAATTAAGCCAAATGCTCATGATAGGAAGATTAGCTCATCACATCTAAGAACAAGTTATTATAATAAAATAGATCTATCACTAATGTTTAAATAAAGAGTGGTCACTGACCTTCAGTAAAATGGATCATGTGATTAAAATGTATTTTTGTTTTTTTTGTTTTTTTTATTTTTTAAATTTATTTATTTATTAAGGATTTCTGCCTCGTCCCCACAACCGCTTCCCATTTCCCTCCCCCTCCCCCGATCAAGTCCCCCCCCCCTCATCTGCTCGAAGAGCAATCAGGGTTCCCTGACCTGTGGGAAGCCCAAGGACTGCCCACCTCCATCCAGGTTTAGTAAAGTGAGCATCCAAACTGCCTAGGTCCCCCAAAGCCAGTACATGCAGTAGGATCAAAAACCCATTGTCATGTTCTTGAGTTCTCAGTAGTCCTCATTGTCCGCTATGGTCAGCAAGTCCGGTTTTATCCCAGGCTTTTTCAGACCCAGGCCAGCTGGTCTTGGTGAATTCCCGATAGAACAACCCTATTGTCTCAGTGTGTGGGTGCACCCCTCGCAGTCCTGAGTTCCTTGCTCGTGCTCCGTCTCCTTCTGCTCCTGATTTGGAACTTGAGATTTCTGTCCGGTGCTCCCGTGTGGGTCTCTGTCTCTGTCTCCTTTCATCGCCTGATGAAGGTTAATATTCCTGAGGATGCCTATGTGTTTGTCTTTGGATTCACCTTATTTAGCTTCTCTAGGAACATGAATTATAGGCTCAATGTCCTTTATTTATGGATAGAAACCAAATATGAGTGAGTACATCCCATGTTCCTCTTTTTGGGTCTGGCTTACCTCACTCAGGATAGTGTTTTCTATTTCCATCCATTTGTATGCAAAATTCAAGAAGTCCTTGTTTTTTACTGCTGAGTAATACTCTAATATGTATATACTCCATACTTTCTTCATCCATTCTTCCGTTGAAGGGCATCTAGGTTGTTTCCAGGTTCTGGCTATTACAATTGGTGAGTGAAGACAGCAGTAGCTGCTTTGGGTATTCCAAAGGTTATTGTGAAAGAAGATTCTGCTTTATGAGATACAGTCACCAATGTTTTCCCATGTCTATTTCTTCTGCTTCATTGTTGTATAAAATATCAGTGGTCACTGGGAATGATTGCTTTTCAAATCTTTTCCAAAAATAATTTTGTTTGTATTTTCTATAGAATTTTTTAGAATTTCAGTTCTTTAGGGTGCTTCAATACATTAATTTTGTCACAGCTTAGGGATGGGTTTACAGACCAAATTATAAAGAATGCCATTTGATAATAAGAAAAAAAATCTTAAACAGAGTAAAACTTTTAAAAATGTCCTTTTGATTTGATTGTTATTAAATTTTTATATCAGCAAAAATACATTTTCTATATATTCTTAAAATGTATATTTTGTGAATTATGATCGTTTCCCAATTTGAACATTAGATTTTAAGATAAGGAAATGAAATTCAATTTTCTTTTGTGTCCATTAATAAGCAATTTTATATAGCATTTCAACTTTTCCATTCAATTCCAATATTTCCTTTACTGGGCAGTTCTCTTTTAAAATCAATATATAGTAACATTATTTTCTCAGCTGACCTCCATGGTCATCTCATTCCATTTCAAGTTCATGGAATCTTAGTCTTTAATTATTATTGTCACACACACAGACACACACACACAGAGAGAGAGAGAGAGAGAGAGAGAGAGAGAGAGAAAGAGAGAAATATTTAAACACAAGCTGCTAAGTGAATCTGTTTGTTGGTGGTGATTTGTGTCTGTTCCTAGGGATGGCTAATCTCTGTTGCAGGCTTCAAGCTGGCAATAATTAGCAGCAGGGTGTATTTGCATACTATGCCATAAATATTCTACATCAGTGAGTCTCAGAAAGTCTTCTTGGGTTGTAGGCAGATCTAAACTAAAATTACAAGGCAATTTGGGCCAGGTTTCTTCTAAGTTCCCATTGTCTCATTTGAAAATTGTGCAAAACAGAGAATCCCTCTGAGGAGCATAGATCGTAGTTGCAACATTAATTATACTATAAGAGTTCCTGCATGTCTGTTACCTATCTATATTTTCACCCAGAAAGGTTTTATTAGAAAACATCAGTAGACATTAATGACTTGTAAGGAAGAATGACAACAAAATACCAGAGTGAACAATAAAAATTATAAAATAGTAATGTGGTTATCTATTTTTCTGTGAATAATTTACTTGAAATTAAAGCTATGTTTGATTATATAATATAATATAATAAACTGATAGTAGAGTAATAAATACTACATTCAGTGCAAGTAGTTTGATGATTTTAATCAAAAGTAGCAGACATTTATTATTTTATTCTATGCTTTTTAAAACTTAATTGCTTTGGGGTTTTATTTACTAAATCATGTGTACTCTAGGAGTGCTGTATTATTTGTAATAATTCTAAAAGTGTTATTATTTATAGATATCAACTACTATGGATAGAAACTAAGTATATTGTTGCACAAGTTACACGCCTTCATCAAACCACAAATACAAAAAGGAAAATAATGAACAAATATTTCAAAGGTCGGTACTTGGAGTCAGTGGAAGCCCATGCTAGTGTGCGTGGGGCTTGGGTTTGAGCTACCTCACACAGACATTACAGTAGAAGAGGTAGTACAGCTCATTCACTCGGGAAGCAAAGGAGGCCTCATGTATAGGAAACTATTGGTAATGATATACATATTCATCTCGTAAATTCAGTGCTAAACACTTTGTGTTGAAAGATATACTTGGAAGCCCAGAGACAGTAAATGAGTTTGAAATGTTTTAAAGTAAAATGATCCATTTCCCCTTTCCCCCAGAATTATTTACTTATTTGTTAAGTAATTTAGGATTAGAGTAACATTTCAGAAACACTATCAGGACTAACATATTGCATCTGATAGTATTTTAAAATAAAACATGTCAAACAAAAGTACAATGCCATTTATACAAATAGAATTAATCTCTTAAGGATCTATAAGATGGCTTAGAGAGTAAAAGAGCTCCATGCCATGCCTGATGACCAGACTTCAATCCTCAGGACACACACGATTTTAGAGGGAAACAATTTTTTGCAAATTGTCCTTTGACAAATCAATGGACTGCTTGATACACCAATGCCCACACATATGCATGCACATACATAAAATAAATACATATTAAAATATAAAAGTACTTTCTTTATAGCCTTCTCAATGTCTGGTTTAATGAAACCAGGAACTTCTTGAAATGTAAGCAACTTTATTTACATTGTTTTAATACTTATCAAATATATATATATATATATATATCACAGCAGGATATTATTAGGGTTTCGAAAACAACGTTACCTTAATTAACATACTTCATATCATTGGCTTCCATTACTATAGTGTTGTAACAAGCCCCAGGCATGGCTAGAGGCAAAACAGTTTTATTGAGTAGCACTATATCCATATAGAGCCAATTATAGCCACAAAATCATAATATTGACATTTTTGATTTTTGAGAATATTTGCATATACATAATTTAGTTTT